CAATCTGTTCTTCGTCATCTTCAATCAAAGTGTCAGTTCTTGTCTCCTAATGTGAGCCCCAGGCTCACTGAGCAGTTAACACCGACACTCCCCGTGACACTGGCCAGGCATTTCACCTCCACTCTGCTCCCTCACCCTTAACATGGGCAATGATCCTCCCTCCCTCCCAGGGGCTGTGAGGAATAAACCGCTACCTTGGAGTTAGAATCATAGAGTCATAGAAGATCAGGGTTGGAAGGGACCTCAGGAGGTATCTAGTCCAACCCCCTGCTCAAAGCAGGACAAATCTTCAACTAAATCATCCCAGCCAGGGCTTTGTCAAGCCTGACCTTAAAAACCTCTAAGGAAGGAGATTCCACCACCTCCCTAGGTAACCCACTCCAGTGCTTCACCACCCTCCTAGTGAAAAAGTTTTTCCTAATATCCAACCTAAACCACCCCCACTGCAACTTGAAACCATTACTCCTTGGTCTGTCATCTGCTACCACTGAGAAGCGTCTAGATCCATCCTCTTTGGAACCCCCTTTCAGGTAGTTGATGGCTGCTATCAAATACCCCCTCATTCTTCTCTTCTGCAGACTAAACAATCCCAGTTCCCTCAGCCTCTCCTCATAACTCATGTGCTCCAGCTCCCAGTCATTTTTGTTGCCCTCCGCTGGACTCTTTCCAATTTTTCCACATCCTTCTTGTAGTGTGGGGCCCAAAACTGGACACAGTACTCCAGGTGAGGCCTCACCAATGTCGAATAAAGGGGAATGATCATGTTCCTCGATCTGCTGGCAATGCCCCTACTTATACAGCCCAAAATGCCATTGGCCTTCTTGGCAACAAGGGCACACTGTTGACTCATATCCAGCTTCTCGTCCACTGTAACCCCTAGGTCCTTTTCTGCAGAACTGCTGCCTAGCCACTCGGTCCCTAGTCTGTAACAGTGAATGGGATTCTTCCATCCTAAGTGCAGGAATCCGCACTTGTCCTTGTTGAACCTCATCAGATTTCTTTTGGCCCAATCCTCTAATTTGTCTAGGTCCCTCTGTATCCTATCCCTACCCTCCAGCGTATCTACCACTCCTCCCAGTTTAGTGTCATCTGCAAACTTGCTGAGGGTGCAGTCCCCGCCATCCTCCAGATCATTAATGAAGATATTGAACAAAACCAGCCCCAGGACCGACCCTTACGGCACTCCGTTTGATACCGGCTGCCAACTAGGACAAGGTCTAATTTTTGGCTAGAAAGGACAGCATGAGAATCACTCTCCACCACCCCATGAGAAGCAGAGCAAAGTGGCCAGTGGTGGGAGGGGACGGGAGCAAGAGACTACTTTAAAGTGTAATCACATTCAGACATACAGCTATCTAATTTCTTCCCAGCTTTTAAAACTGTTTCCCTTTAAGTTTTCCCAGTGTTGTTATCCAAACTGAATCTTCTATCCCTCCTGGTTCTGCTATTCACCATGTTCTGATGGAGACTGATCCTTCAATGTTTGGGATTGCTGCCCCAACCTCGCTGGTTGTGTGTTCTGCCTGGCTTGTTTTGAAATACTCTCATGTGTAGGCAGCAATACGCTGTATTATGTAGCTCTGTGTGTTGTTCTCCACGGTGATTTGATTGTGACTAGGAACATTTTCACAGCTACCATTACAGTGATCTGCAGAACAAGGCATTTCAGAGAGAACACATCTCTGCTAATGTCATGAACAGCCCCTACTGACAGACTCCATTCATGGAGAGACAGTCCTGGCCGATACAGGACATTTACAACAATATAAAGCAGTTGAGTATAGCAACAGAAAAGGATTCTACACTCAGATCATCCCTGAAGTATAAATATAATGCAGTCTTAATTACACCCAGCCGCTTCAGACAGCATACCATTTCATGCAGTCTTGTGCACCCATCTATAACAGTATTTCAGGGAGAGGCAAGAGGCTAAAGGGAAGTTGGGTACAAACACAATACCTACAAATCACTGTGTGGATCTGATTAACGGAGGAGACTTATACAAATAATTAATGGGGAAAGCGTGATGAACTCTAACCCAACACCACAGTGTATCAGAAAGACCAGGACAAAGCCCTTAGCCAAACAGAACAATTTAAATCTTTTAGCTATAACGCTTCCACCACAGATAATTTATTAAGACAAATACCGTTCCTAGGACATCAAGCCTTGAGCAAATTAGAAGTCTTCAAAGGATATGGAGCCAGCAGAAGAAATCTATTCTGGACAACAACCCTGCGAATTCTCTTCACTGTAGATGGGATGCAGACTGGAAGCTGGAAACAGGTTGTAAGATGTTCCCACACAGCACACAGATTATCTATGATCCAACTCCATAACACCCGTGAACATTGCGCAGAGAAGAAAGAAGTGGTAAAGTCCTTTTTGAAGAGAATTAAAAGTCTACTAGCGAAACACTGAAGAGTAGTGTTTTCAAGGATTCAAAGAAAGAGACCAATGGCTTAGCATTTGTCCCATCTCTTCCAAACCACTGCTTTGAAATCCCTATTGCCCTTCAGTTCCAGTTCCCACAGGCCTAGGTCTGTGTGTCAGCTCGGGCTCTTTGCTGGGCAAAGAATGCCTTTGTCGCAGCACCGTGTCCAGCACCACGAGCATTGTCAGCACTGAGACATTATAGCCAATAATCAGAATCACAAAGATCTCCATGAACCAGCTGCCATGCTCCAGCATTGTGAGAACAGCCTAGGCTGAGGGTGAGGCAGGCGTGACTGTCACCCCCGTTCTGCATCCCACCCCTTCCAGCAGTGTCACCAATGAAGTGGTCACTTGAGCTCCAAGACAAATCCGGGAGCAGCAGCAATCTGCCCATCACTGATTCCCCCTCCAGAACGGCCAGGGCCCGTTAGCCATCTCTGGGCCACTCATCCCAGGGCCACAGGAGGGGGGTGCTGTGCTCAGTAATCATGGGGGGCCCTCGGTGCTAGAGACCGAGCCTCTTTTTATTAGGGTACCTCTACACTTGGAGTTGGGAGTGAGAGTCTCAGCTCAAGACACGCTCCTGTTAACTCTAATCTAGCTAGTGTGCCAAGGCATGGGACTAGCCGTCCCCCCACGTGTATCAGTCGGAGGCCATAGGGATGCACTCAGGGTGGCCAGCGCCTCTAGCCACAGTGGCACGAGCAGCGTACTCATGTCCAGCGCAGAGCTGGTACGGGGATGCCTGCTCCAGCCTGGCCTCCCCCCCAGCTCCAGTGCTGACCCGGGTCCCCTGTGACAGGTCCATGGGCTTCTGCAGCACCCCTCCCCCACTCCCTGTCTGGAGAGCTCAGACACTTAAAGGTACAGCTCCCGCCCCCGGGGACGTGCTGGGGCTGGCCAGGACCCAGGTCAGCTCTGGACACAACTTAGAGCAGCCTCATGCCTGTTGTAAACTGCACTGGCTGTCCATGGCCCCTTGGTTCCTAGACACAGTTGCTAGGTCAGAGCCTGGGAGTGGGGGTGGCGGAGACACATGGAGGCAGTGGAATCTCAGGGGGCTGCTAAAGGCAGCTCTACGGCTCCTTTGTGCTGCTGGAACGGAGCTGAGGATCTGGTCGGCGCTTTCTCCTTGGTGCACCAGGGATTACGTTCGTGCACTGTTTATTGTCTATGCCAGATTATTCATGCAGCTGTTAACGAAGTCTGGACCAAACTCCGCTCCCAGCGGAATCCACTCGCCGCCTCCCCTTGCCCAGCCCCCATACTGCAGCTTTTGTTCACAGTCCTTCAGGGAATGCGGCCACTGAACAACGGTCCTGTTCAGGACAATGCAAATTCCTTTTCCCAGGAGACTCCTGCATCTCCCATGTTTCTGTGGCTGTCCTGTGTCTCTTCCAGCTGTTTGTGTCTATCACCGTCTCGCCTGCTCTTCTGCTATCCCCTTGCACTATTGCTGCTCCCTTCTCTCTGGCCTCCCTCGCTTTTAGCCCCGGCTGAACCTCACTGCCCACGTCCTCATACGTAGGAAGATGTGAGACCACAGCACGCATGCCCTCCAGCACCTCCTCTGGCTCCTGGACACCCTTCGGCAGCTCCCGGGAGTGCAAAGCTGAAATGCCGAGGATGGCTAAAGCCATCCAGGAATCACGGTGTTCTCTGATTCTGAGAGGTGCTGACAGGACTTGGCTGTTTGGTGCCTTTTAACGGCACAGCCAGTCTGCCAGAGGAGTTTCTTCTCCAAGACCAAGGGGAGGGACCTTGCCCAGCCCTGGCCCCTGCTTCAGAAGTGGAAAGTAGGGATTTGGCCCTTCTACTGTAGCCCACGGAAATCATTTAAGTGGCTTAGGGTCAGAGTCAAACCAAACAATTATTAGCAATAATGCTGACAATGACTGTGGAGCACTGTCCCCAGCTCTGTACTCTTCCCCTCTTGGCACAAGGCAAAGTCTGGCAGCACATGGACAGCCATGTGCCAGGCCCCTCCTCTCTGCGCTGATCTGAATGGCAGGACGAGGGAGACAGGATACTCCAAACAGAGCAGGGAAGCAGCGTCTCTCTTGTCCTCTGAAGAGACCGAGGCGAGGCACACTCCCTGCATACTGTTGCTCCTCCTCTAAGTATTACCACCGTTATTATTATTATCTGTCTAGCTCTTGTGTGAGAAGGTTCCAGTCAGGATCAGGGCCCCTGGTTCCTGGTGCTGTATAAACATATCGGAGACAGAATCCCTGTCTGAGGAGCTCAGACCCTAAACAGACAGTGTCACAGCATGGGAGCAAAACACTCCGAGTTAAGCATGGGTGTATCTGTACTTGCCCAGTCCTGCTCCCCGTGGATTCTGGGCCCCCAGGCCCCCACTCCAGACGTTCTCTCCCACGCGGGGACCCTTGGCCTCCTTCGCGCCATTACACGGAGTGGCAGTTGTGACAAATAGCAGTGCACCGAGCTCGCCCAGCCAGAGACTCAGTGCATCTGCAGGGGTGAGAGTTGAACTTGTTTGGCCTCCATCAGCCTGGGTGAGGGGAGATCTGAGGGCCCTGGATGTAACCCGCATCACTTACCCCTCCAGGAGAGCGATGACGTTCTTTCGGGGCCGCCCAATGTTGGGCCCATAGAGGCTGGCTCTGGCGTAGGTGCGGATAAGCTGCAGCAGACTCTTCAGCTGGGTATAGTCCTTCCCCAACTGACTGCCATTCACGGCACGGCCAGTCAGCGTCCGATAGTTGTTGGGCTCTGGGAAATCAACATCGAAAAGCCGCTCAGCCCTTCTGGAGAAGGACACCCAGCTCACCCCCCCCCCCTCCCCCCAGGAAAGAGCCACAGCAGGGGACCTCCTGGCTGGCGACGCACAGAGGCTCTGTCTACACTGCAGCACCTACGCTGGCAGAGCCCACTAGTGTAGACACAGGCGAGGGCTCTCCTGAGAACACCCCAGTGCCATAGCCACAGCTCTGCAGTGCTTCAGCGCAGTCACTTCCCACAGCACCGGGAAGGGGCTCCCGTCCGCGCAGGTAACCCACCTCCCCGAGAGACAGAATTCTGTCCACCTAGCGCTGTCTGCACCAGGGCTTAGCTTGGCTTAACAACATCTTGGGGGGGGCGTGGGGGAGAGAGGGGATTTTTCACAGCCCTGAGAGAAGCTGCGCTGACATCACTTTTCAGTGCAGACCCGCCCACAGCGTACGCTGGCAGAAGGAGATTTTCTGTGCTGGGGGAACACCACTGCCCGAACGACATTCGTTATGGCCAGGGCTACACTTAAATATGAGGTTGACCCAGCAGGAGTGTGAAAAAAGCCACTCTCCTGAGCAGTGCAGCTAAGCCGACAGCATGAGGGCAACATCACCTTCGCCACCGGCCCTCGGCAAGGCAGATTCACTCCAGCAATGGGACCCCTCCCCTCACGCTAGCGAGTGGCTGCGCTGAAATGGTTTAAGTCAGCGGTTCTCAACCGGGGTACGCACACCCTTGGGGTACACAGAGGTCTTCCGGGGGGTACATCAACTCAGCTAGAGACTTGCCTAGTTTCACAACAGGCTCCATAAAAAGCACTAGTGGAGTCAGGACAAACTACAGTTTCATACGGACCATGACTAGTTCACACTGCTCCATAGACTAGACACTGAAAGGCAAATGCAGTGTTTATAGTCCAGTGGAGTTATTTGATACTGATATGGTAAAAAGGAGACCCGCAGCCATTGTTCAGTACTAGTGTGCTGGGACACTTGTATTTTTACGGCTGGGTTTGGAAGCAAGTCATTTTTAAGTGAGGTGAAACTTGGGGGTACGCAAGAGAAAGGGGGACAGTGCAGTAACTCCTCACTTAACGGCCTAGTTATGTTCTTGAAAAATGCAACTTTAACCAAAACGATGTTAAGCAAATCCAATTTCCCCATAAGAATTCATGTAAATGGGGGGTGAGGGAGGGGGATAGGCTCCAGGGAAATTTTTTTCGCCAGAAAAAAGACATTATATACATATACGGTATAAGTTTTAAATCATTTTAAAGAAACAATTTAATACTGTACTTATCAGTGCTGATTGTGAAGCTTGGGTGAGGCAGGGGCATAGCGGGATGGGGGCGCGGGGGCTTGCCCCGCTCCGCCCATCCGGTATTCTAGCTAGGGAGCAGGCAAGCCCCCACACCCTGACCCCGCTCCCTGGCAGGAGCGCTGGGCAGGCGAAACAGGGCAAGCCCCCGTGCCCCCACACAACGTTATAAGGGAACATCGCAGGACTTTAAAGGAGTATGTTCTCTAATAGATTAGCGACCTAATAACAAAACGTCCACTGGGACCACGTTAAGTGAGGAAAGGTTGAGAACCACTGGTGTAAGTGTGGACGTAGACTGTGTCAACAGACACACTCTTGCATCAGCACAGCTGCTTCTACACCGGGGGTTGTGTCAGAATAGCTGTCGCTGGTGGGGGTGGGTTTCACCCCCTGACCGACGTAGCTAGGCCAGCGTAAGCTTTAAATGTAGAGTAGGCCAGAGAGGCAGGAGGGATCTAGGAGTGAATGGGTGCTGTGAGCGCCCCTCGCTGTCCTTCACCAGCCTGGGGTTCAATTTACAGGTTTTCCTAAACTGGGGAGAAGGTGGAGAAGTGGCCTTACTACCCCTTTCCACCCCCGGCAACCCTGGGGCCAGCTGAGAGTTAATGGGCAGAGGTGCTGGAGGCGCTGCAGCACCCCCTGACTTGAAGAGGTTTCCATTATATCGAGGATTTACAGTTGGGTTCAATGGCTCACAGCCCCCCCACTGTCCGCATCGCTCCAGCCCCCCTGCTAACGGGGGGCCTGCAGAGCCCCTTCCCCACTGCCACGCTCCTTCCTTCACGGTGTCTCCTGTAGCTAGTGATTGCCCGCTGGCCCACGCAGTGGCTTGTCTGCACGCCCGTGGCACGCCCTGCTGTGACCGGCAGTGAGCTGGGTGCAAGCATTTCTGCGTGTGAAATACCAGCAGACGGGTATGTTACAGAGATGTCCTTCTGAAGCTGGGACTCCCACAGGGCACACTTCCTCCCTGCAGCGTCCCGCCAGTCCTCGCTGAATGGCTAAGGGCAAAGCTTGCTGGGCTCTGCAAGTGTTCGGCCCGAAGGGGGAACTGACCCTTCCCTTGCTGCCGCACTGAGCTCCACGCTGCGGGGAGCTGCGGGCGAGCTGGCCGCTCACTCACCGTTGCCCAGCTCCCAGGAGATGTTGTATTTCTTGCTGGCACTGTACTTCAGCAGGCTGAGCGCATTGGAGCTGTTCCAGGAGTTATTTGGATTTCGGCGCAGGGCATTCAGCGCAAAGATCAGGTGGAGGCCAGAGCAGTCGGCGAAGTTATAGAGTTTGTCTAGAGACCTGGCTGGGAAGAAACGAAAACCAGCTTGTAACTCAAATGAAAGAAAAGTACCAGGCAGTCCAGAGCGGTTCAACAGACCCTCTGCTCCCGCCCGTCAGAGCTCTGCCTCTGATGTCAAATGCTGCCCTGTGGCACCTTGTAGTGCGCTGAAGTGGCCTCCCACTGAGCCAGAGGGGGCGGAACCACGCTCCGATCCCAGGTGGGCGGAGCCAGGCCAGGCCCGCCCCTCTCACCGGAAGTTAAGAGGCGGGACAGGAAGTGGAGCTCAGCTGGGCTGCAGCTGCCAGAGGAGACAGACGCCTTCTGCCCACTCCCGAGGCTGGAGACCGAAGGGGAGCCCGCCGAGCTGAGGACTGGCCAGTGCTGCTGGAGCCGCCAGCTGACTGCCACACTGAGGAGTGCTGGGGACTGCCGCTGGCCATCTACCCTGGGGAGACAGGGGACGCCCCGCGGCGAGGGTGCAAAGTGCCCCAAGGACCCCGACTCCAGTCCAGCTGCGTTGCTGCCTGAAACCCAGTCAGCGTGTTGCAGCTGGATCCCCGCTGACCCAGTGGCGGCACACTCCACCCTGGGCTGGGCCCTGGGCCGGGACCCAGTGCAGTAGGGTGGGTCCCGGTGACCCACTGTCGGGCCACCCTTGGGGGGGCAGCCGCCTCACCTTGGGCCAGGAGGGCTGTGTTAGTCTACTGTCCGCCAGAGCTAGGATGCTAGGCCCTGCCCTGCCCTGCCTGAGGGCCTGGGCCCCTAGACTGTTCACTGCCCTGCCCTGCCTGTGGGCCGGAGCACACAGACTACTTATAGCCTGCCTGGCCTGAAAGCCGGAGCCCCCTCAGACTGGGAATCCACCCCACGCTGCCACCAGAGCCCCAGATCCTCACGCCAGACTTTGCTAATTCCCCGACTGTGGGCAGCACCCACGGATGTAGTGAGCCAGATTGGGAGGAACCACCACAAACCCACTACACACCTACAACCAGGTAAATGCATGTGGCCTTTCACATTGGGGTATCATTGCAAGGCTGGGCAAAATCCTTCTAGACCCTGAAGTCTGGGCACCCTCCACAACTGCATCGAGCGAAGGACCGTGCCTGGGGCATCACTGCACCTAGGCCACCAGGCAGAGAGGTGGCTTCAAAGGTGGCCATTGTTGGCCAGGATGCTGCAACCTTTCCTCTGTGATGTACCTCCCCACGCGTTGCCCAGCTGGGGTCGTACCCAGGCTGGGCTCCTGCACCACTGCACTGGGGCTGCCTTGGAAAGCAGCAGAAGACTTCAGCTGGCACAAAATGCAGCCGCTCCCCTCCCGAGTTGAATGGGCTTCTGCCAGGTGTTCACTCTGGGAGCCTCTCAAAGGCACGGTTCCAGTCTTTCAAACACCACCTCAGAGCCGGCGCTAGGCGGAAGCAGACTAAGCAACTGTTTAGGGCCCCAAGCAGCTCAAGGCCCCCCCATTAATTATTAGTATGTGTTGTGGGGGTGCAAAATATTCCTGCTAGGGCCCCCAATGGGCTAGACCTGGCACTGCCCCAAATGCTCTGCCACCTGGCTGCCTGGGGGAATGGCTGGGCTTGTGTGTTTTGGTTTTGCTTTTAACACTAACGTTCTTCTCTGTGGTTCTAACGTCTGAATTCAGGCTTCTGAAGTGCCGCGCTCGAACAAGGTCTAAGGCACAGAGAACCCTGTTGCAGCAGCGACCTTAACTCCCCTAGCCAAGTTAGTAAGAGAATCCCGCATACAACTACTTCCATCCCCCTCAACTCTCCCGCCCCACCCCGCTCACAAGCACACACCATCCCATAAACAACAATTAAACACATGCCCTCAGAGGCTCGCCAGGCATCTTCCCCTCTGCCCTGGGGAGGAGAGGGTTCATAGGAGGAGTTTTATTTCCCAGTTTGGGTAGTTTTGATTTGGGTGTTATTTTTCCTTAGACGCTTTAATTGTTTTTGGGGTTCTTTTATCAGATTAGATTTGTGATCTCCAGGGTAGGGGGAGGTTCGGAAGGCGTGCTGTTCTGTAGCTACCGGGCCTCTAGAGTAACTGTTTTGTGTTGGGCAAGGAAAAGCTACACGTGTGTGTGTTTGCCCAGAGGATGGTCATGGCGGGAGGACCGGGGCCAGCGGAAATCTAGAGGGAGATAGGGGAATATGCCCTACGTCCCAGGGACGTCCCAGGGAAGCCCCCATGCCTATGCTCTGGCAGGGTGGAGGGGCCCTACCTGGCAATAACTCCCCAGTGCTGAACAGCAAGGTCTTCAAGGAGCAGCCTCTGCCGCTCAGACCGGCACCATCGGTGTCTGTGTCCCGCGTGCTGCTCCTCCACCTAGGGACAGCACGGGACCCGGGGCAGCGCAGGCCAGAGCTGCGAGCCTGCTCCTTCCTCTGCTGGCGGACCCACCCTGGGATCTCTTTGATTACACTCACTGGCATCTTCATTGCCAGGCAGGGTCTGCGAACCGTCTGTGGCATCCACTCGTACAGTCTGACCAGGGCTGACCGGGAACGCTGGCATTCATGCTTCAGGTCTGATACGTTGTTCTCTTAGGGCTTGTCTATACTTACCGCGCTGGTTCGGCGGCAGGCAATCGAACTTCTGGGTTCGATTTATCGCGTCTAGTCTGGACGTGATAAATCGAACTCAGAAGTGCTCCCCGT